ATAAAAAAACAGAAATTTTAAGTTTTCTTTGATACGATATTAGACTTCTTTGTTATTTTCTTTCACACTTTCATTATCTACTTCTAAATCTTCGATAGAGACTTAAAAATTAACGTCTGTTTGGTATTTTACTGCCAGAAAATAATTAATTTATTGTAATATTGAGGCGCTCTTTGGAAATTTTTTTGACAAATTAAATGTGTTTCCAGCATATCACACTTTTCAATATGTCAAAGCCTTTTCGGATTGGGATTAAACTGAGATTAATAATAACTAGTAGTAGTAGTAGTAGCTACTTATTTTACTAGGCAAGTAGGCTACAATGGGCCCTTTTTACCTAGGGACCTACAGTTTAGCGTGGACTCCGAACCACGGTCTTCGACTGTCAACTAAGCCACCGCCTGGGCCTGCCCGCCTGCACCGCTAGCAGAGTGGCAAACCTCCTGGGTAGGTCTCTTCGACCCTCCACCCGGGCTCGCCTCTCCGCCTGCATCAGGCTAGCGGCCTTCCCGGGATTGTCTGTTGACAGCCTACCGACTGTTAGACGAGCTATCGTTCATCCATCCAATTGCCGGACTCGATCAGTGCTGCTTAACTTCACTGATCGAATATCGGAAATTAAACGGATGTCCATACCTCATCCCCGACAATCTCAATTATTATTTTGACGTATTATTCTATAATTGACCATAGGGAATGTTTTTTTATGACTACTTGATTATTAGAGGGTTTTAAAACAGTTCTTAAAAAACTCGACTATTTTCAATTTTATCAAAAAATGTTGTAGAAGAATTTCTTTCAGTAATTGATTTTACATCGATTAGTACAAAATTATGAATTTTTGGAAATAACTCAAGAATTGGGTGCTCGATTACTTTTCTATTTTCACCATCGTAATTAGCGAAAAAAATTTGACTAGTTTGCTAATTTAGCCACTAATAACCGAGTTAACAATGGTGCCCACTTAATGGAATCAAATTATATTTAAATTTAGAAATAAGTATAAAAAAAAAATCAGATGGAGTTCAAAACATAAATTTCAAACGTATTGTTTCCTGATTTGAAAATAGCCTTTTTTCTGTGTATATATTACAGTATAATCCGATTCATTAGTGGTATCTTCACCACTTTTAAAAGATGGTGGCCGCACTTAGCTTTACACATGCTTCTCAAGTTAATCTTAATATTTGACATCAAATGTATTGATTTCCTAAATAAAAATAAGTCGGAGTAAAGTTTGAAATATTCATCTGGCAGCGGTCGAGTTAGTTATTACATCAAGTATTATCGTATTTTTAAAAAGGTCAGAAATAAGTTTTTACTCAATCGATCTTAACAAATACTACAAACTACAAATAAATATTACCTACATCATGTATGTTTCGCATCCCCTTCTTATTACCTAAGCTCGAAGGCTTCATTTCTATTTAGTTATACATCTGTTTACAAAAACATCTTGATTTTGTATTCTCGAACAATACAATCACCACTAAAGAAATTGATCCTTGACATGTTTTATGTAATAGATCTTGGACAACCCTCTTTCGTATAATATAAATCGTACTTTTAAAATGTTATACCTTTGAGAGCTTGCTTATTTTTATATATATATATTTTTTTGGTTAATACAGAAGATTTTGCTGTCATATTTCTGCTTGGATAATAATTTCGAGTTTGTACACAGTAGAATCTTATCCAAATTAATTAATTACAGTTGAATATTAAAATTCTTTGTTAAAACTTCAGAATCTCCAACTCTAAATAAATAATAAATTGAACATTTAATTAAGTTAATAAATTGTGCAGTTTTAATCTTTTAATTTAAATATTTAGCTCTGAAAAGGTTAAACCTGAGCGATATAGACAATCTACATATTATAATTCGGATTAACATTGTACAATATGAATAATTTTTGGTTCATACAGGGTGTCTCAATCTTATTTTAGGAAAATGAGAATAATGGAAAAACACTGATCAATTATTTATATTAAAAGATGCATAGTCAACAAGGTGCAGGGTCATTGAAGTTATACTCGGTCCATTTGCAATGGACAGTAATTTGGTCAACTAGAGGTCTACTGGAATCTACAAAAAATATTTTAGGCACGGCAAAGCTGTTTAACTTTGAAGTACTTGTAGTTACTGCATTTCAAGATAGTTCTGCTACGTCTAAAAACTTTGTTATAGACTCAAATACACCTCAAGTTGGCCAAATTATTGTGCATTGCTAACGGACCGAGTATAAGTTATAAAATTACGAAATCGTTATTTTTAATTTAATCACTTCTTTCACGTTTCCGCTATCAAGGCCAATCTCCGACGCCAGTAGATATGATGATCAAAACAAATAGAAAAGCCCCTATAAACATAAGTTCAGTTCTGAATTATTAAGGACATTTCCTACTTATGCCATTAGTAAACAGTTATAGAATATTCTTCTGGATAACAAACGTAACAGTAATTAAAGAAAATATTTATTTTCCAAAGTCGCCCGAGCGTCTCATACTGTACCAGGAAGTGGTAGGACGTTTTTTCATCCTCTCCGCATCCTAGTTGTGTAAAATCTTCCTCAGCACATATAAGTGACTGGTGTCTTCTAATTTTGCAATGTTCTGTCAGAACTCCTATTAAATAATTCAGTTACAAAGTTACAAGCTTGTCTGCAGTAACTGCTTAACCTTCAGTGCACCTTTAGTATCCCATCCATTCATGAGAGCCGTAATGATCTGCCTCCATGTGACACTAAAAATAAGTTTAGGGCCTAAATAAGCTCCTCGGTTTCAAGCCTAGCCAGTTCATATGCCTTCTCGTTCCCTCGAAGCTCGGTATGACTCTGAACCCACACAAGTCTTATCTCATTGTGTCTGGCAAGCTCTTCCAAAGCATCTCCACACTCCTGAACTAGTGCTGATCTTTTCCTAGGAGAACAGATTGCTTTCTAAGCCGCTGGGCTGTTGGAACACACGTGTGATCTAAGTAATTCAGGGTATTTAGATCGGGTGAGGGGAAAAAGTATGGTCATTCATTTAATTTCTGATATTCGATCAGTGAGCGCAGTAACAGGTTTCGGAAGAGATATAACCAGGAGGCTTGTCATTCTACCATCTATACAGGCGGATTAAGCCCCAGCGGTGAGTTAATTAGCAGCTGAGGGCAGTGGTTTAGAATCCACACTAAACTGTAGGTCCCTAGGTAAAAAGGGCCAATTGTGACCTAGTTGCCTAGTAAAATAAGTAGCTACTACTACTACTACTACTACCACTACTGGATCCGGTGGCCAACCACGGTTATTTTGAAAAAATTTTTAATCAGGATTTAAATGAAGGGAAGCTCATCTTGGTAAAAGTAAATATTCTGTCGTACAATCAAAGACATATTCTTCATAATGTCTGACAAGCGATTTTGTAAGGACTGTAAATATCATTTTCCATAAGGTGACCCTCCAATACTAAATAACAAATCTTCAAACAAATATATTTGTATCGTCTACTATTCTGATTTAAACATTTGGATATATTGATGGAAAGGATGCATAACTTCATTATGGAGTGTCTTCCATGCCTGGGCTATGCTGATACGCCATAGCAAGAATGTTTTCTTTTATTACCACTTCAGGACTAAATTCCCTTTTAGATTCGTTTCCTATGGTAGGAAAAGTCCAATTTCTTGTGCACACGGCCGTTTGAAATTAGAGCATTCCTCTCGATAGTGATATCGACACCGATATTAAGCAATTGCAGAATGAGTACTACCATTGCAGTAGGTAATTATAAACGAAAATCGCACCTATATATCCTATCAAACGTCAAGAGAACTGCTATAAATAACTAATTTTTTATTTGAATATTTTTCCGTGGAGACGGAAAAAAAGAAATTCAATAATTACAAGGGAAATGTTTATGATAAAAACGATTTATCTCATTATCGGGGGTAGGATTTACCAATCGGATATGACGTAAAACCAGGGTTGGCTTTATGTGGTTATGTGTCAGATCTGCATGCATATATATCTTACCTTGAAATTTTTTTTAGCGAATTCCGTATTATCCAAAGTTAATAAAGTCAGTTTAACACTCACTCAAAGAGAACTGGAGGTATAGGGAGATGTACTTAACAGTAAACTACACACACAAGTATTTTTCACTGCCGGTTACAAAAATAAAAGTATATTAATATTTGGTCTAAATGTTGTGTAGTCAAATTTCGGCGCCTTTCGTTGAAAATCCATTTATATTGCGAGAAGGACCGCTCGACGTCTACAGATGTAACTGGAGCATACATAAAATATGTAAACTCTCGCAAAGTCACTACATTCATGCCCGGTGTAGCAAAATCTACCTCTTTGCCGTTTAAAAGGTCTATTACACCTGTCATCGTAACAAATCCGGGATCATTTTTTAAAAACAGTTTGGAACTTTGTTTGTACCCTCGCAACAATTTCTCCCTGTAATTGATAAATGTATCGTTGAAGATCGAATACAACTGTAGCAAATTCTAATGTCGGCTGGTATTGAAGGTCCCGTATGGCTAGAGAAATTTGTGAAAAACTTCCGTATAATTCTCCAGATTTTCTTGAATAGTTGGATCCATAAATTTTATAAAATAACCGTACACGACTTGGTGCTTTAAGAAAAACTTTCTTTACACTAGATATTAAATTATCAACATTATGGTAGCATCCCCCTAATGGCTTCAGCAATCCTATGAAGCCCATGCGCTAAACATGTTACATGAAGTATATTCTAATATGTTTCCTTCAAAATCCTTCCAGCATCTTTCATATAATTCACTCCATCGGTAAGAAATAATAAGAACTTGTCCTTATTTTCTGCATATTTATCACCCCAAAACTCTTGTAGACTTGAATTCACTACCTCTGCTATAGTGCGAGAATTTGTAGCTTGTAAAATTTTGGAGGCAATCAAGGACCCGCTCAATCAACAATTTTCCTCCAATGCACCCACTAAAACATTCGCCACCTTAAACCCGAAAGCATTATAATATGATGGTCGAGAGGTAAGCACCCTTGACTTTCACCCAAAGGTCCCGGGTTCGAATCCCGGCCGTGGCACTGGGATTTTTTTTGTAAGAGAGATTAATCGTAGTATACTTGGATATTGGATGTGTGTCCGTTGTCTCTAAATGTGTAGCTCTCTCTCGCATAACGTCAGTATAGAGATACAAGGGGTTGTATTATCTGTGGTGTTTATTATTAGTGGTTTCGTCCACGCTAAGCCAGATGTACTTCCCATTAAGCTCAGAAGAAATTTTTTGTCTAATATTTTGACACTCCCTTGATAAATATTTTTTTTTAGTGTAGACTTCGAAGGCACGTTGTTTGATCGTGTTATATGTTTTCTTCTCCTCACGCTAGAACCTTCAATAATGTAAATTACCAATATGCTCTAATTTAACCCATTTATGCCTAAAACTCTATGGATGAAATTGAATGATATTTTTCCCGAATTCCTAAAGGAATTAGTGTAATAATACAGATTTCACCACGTTTAAAATTTTATTTAAAAAAAAATACAAAAAGTAGGGTCTACTTTTTATATTGCGAATTTATCTGATGGATCTAGGCTATTGTTATCGGCGACATGGAAATTTGATAAAATATATTCAAATTTATCTCGTGTTATCGCTCCTGTTACAAGTGAGTTATTTCCATCTTTCTCACGTTCCCAAAACATTCTACGCCTTTTAGGTCTCAGGTAACCGCTCAATATCAGAACACCAATAAAAGACATAATTTCAGAACTACTAACATCTTGGGTACGGTTTTTTTGACTCGCATATTTGTTTATTTCAGAAACGATTAGATTTATGAGTTCTTCATCAAAAAATTCTAAAAATAGTTCAAGCGGACTTTTTGAATATGGTATAGTTTCAGGAACTTCAAAAATGTTTGATAGATAAGGCAAATCCTCTTTTATCCATTCGTACTGTTTTTGATTCTTCCGTTTAGTTTTAGTAACTTTGGGTTCGTCTGTATTTTGTCTCACCAAATATGAAAGAGAAAGGTTGTCATCAGATGAATAACTGTCATTTGAGTCGTAAGTAAAATTTATTTCAGCAGGTGCTTGTAGTTGAGAGGCTGGTAAATTATATGCTGAAAGTAAATCTGCGTCACCAGAATCCTCATCTGTTATCTCGCCACAAGCATTTTCTGGAGGAAATATTGTTATATAGCTAACTTGCCCGGATAAGTCGTCATCCTCTTCTAACATTGCCAGAGCCTCATCAAGTCAGAAATTTCTAGAACAATAGTATGGTATATGCCTTGTGTACTATTTTTAGTACACTCAAAAGTAACAAAGAAAAAATTAAATGTCTTTTATGAAATTATTATTTATGTCGATGTAAATAAAAACATTTAACATTTCTTAATCAATTATAATGGAAAGTTAATTTTTATTTTTAAAATTATATCCAAAATACACTTACTTAGCAAATCGAATTCCATATTCTGCCATTTTCTTAAATAATAGTATACTGTTCACTTATTTCACACACTTATTTCGCAAAACTAGCAGAAACAACCATTCGCTCTGGAGCACAAAAGTCTACTGCAGAGTCTAAAGCATGTAAACAGTGAAGTTGTCGTCACTACGAAACATGCTGAGACTTATTAGAGCTGTACTTTTTATAGTACGTTAGGTATAAATGGATAAAAGATTCTATTACGTATTACGTTTTAATTTAATATAGTGCATTCTCTGACAAAACTAAGTTTATGAACGTTGTAAAATTAAATAAAATGCACTTAATACGTTTTTTTAGTTTGGGAATGTTTCAGTAGGTATTTGCGATATATTATTATTATATCTATAAAAGCCATCCCTGGTAACAGATCGGTAAATCCCACGTATGGTTATTATAGGCTGAGAATCAGACATACGGTTATTCTTCCTGAACACATCTAATTATTGCGGTTTCCTCATTTTATCACTTAACGTAATAAACATAATTGTGCCATATAATTCAAAAATGGTAATTATGTTATCATTGTGCTTGTTTACCTTTTACATAAATATTTTCCTTATATTACGTAACGTTCCAGTTGAAATCATCGAGACATGTACTCCTCAGATCATTATTATTCATATTCTTCTAACGTTCTTATGTATTTGACAGGAATGGCCGATACACGTAGAGTTCAAGAATTAACCTTGAACTGTATTACAAGGTCTGTTTGGTATCATGCACTAGTGTACCAAGAATTAGAGTTTATATCCATTGAACCAATCAGATTGAGTATAGCAGGGTAAGCATGGGCCGGATGCCCCTCGGAAATGTTGGGCTGATATTTTTACCTTGACATTACACTGCTAAGAGAAAATATTTTGTAAGTTATCACACCTCTGCGCACGCTGGTTTTTGAAATAAATTAATTATTCGAATTTGGAAAGAAAAATTTTTTTCTTTAATAAAGTAAAAAATCTTTCTTTTGCTTTCTATATGTGCAAGATACTGCAAATAAGTTTTAAATGAAACATTATTGAATATATGCAGTGGGTAATATACTAAAATATTCCAAATCAAAAATATAAAATGACACGTATGTTGAGACACTATCATTCATTTTTTTTTTATAAATGCCCCTTACTATGTTCTATAAACTACATTTTGTTAAAAATTTTTGGAAGGGTAGAACAATGTTAAAAAAATTAAAATTACTACCTATATATAAATATTAGGGAGCGAATTGTACTCCAATTTTTTATGATATAATTTTAATAATAATAAAAATAATTATAATTCTAATATTCTAAATATACTAACTCTATAATAATAATTAAAATATAAGATAATTATAATATTGTAACGAAATTTTTAACTTTATTTATTCTTCAATTTTCCTATATGTAACGATATAATATTATAATAATAGTATAAACATAATGATAAAAAGTGTTCGTAAACAAATGTAGGGGCACTAAACAGTTGTTAATTTAACTCTACATTTTTTTATATCCATTTTGTTTATATGCGGCAAGGGCATTGAAGGCAAGAATAACGAGTGCCCACTTTATACGTAATATACCTATTGTGTAGCCTCAACACGCGGCAAGTTAAAATGTGTTTATATTATTTTGACCTCAAATTCATGTCTATGCGTATTTTTCTTTAGTGTATGTTTTCGAAATCGTGTTATTACAACACTCTAATGATGGGCTAAATGGTGATTTTTAAATCACACGGTGAACTGCTACTACGATTTCAAAATTACAGTGATTGTAACCTGCGACTGTGATCACAACTTCGGAGCAATCGCAGCGGAGTAGTGCCAGTAGCAGCGTATAGCAAATTATTTCCGAGTGTGCCAAAGCTTGAGCCGTGATTATTACGACTGTGAATACTACCTGTGACCAGTGTTCCAGTGCAATCTGCGACCTGCACTACACAGTTCATCGAGCAGTCGAAGCGAGCAGACCTACCTAGTAGAGTGCAGATGCAAACAGTGCATGTGTGAACAGCGAATCAAGACAAGCAGCAACTGAAGTTTGGCAACGATCTGTGTAGACGGGGCTGACGAAAGTTAAGCAACGATCTGCGTGGTCTGAATCAAATTCGGTTACAACGAGGGACAGAAGTTTTTAATAAAGACTCCCACCTTGGAGTCAACAATTCCCAACCCCAAAATTACTAACCAAATCTCTTACAGGAAAGACAGGACGAAGAACCAGGAAAAGCATTCTGTGGAGGACAGAATGATGGACAGTGACGAAGATTCATCCTCCGAGGCGATATCAGCAAGAACCAAGGCTTCCAGGAAAGCCGAAAAGTTGCGTCACCTAAAAGAAGAGAAGAGAGCGAGAGACGAAGAAAATAAACTCAGGGCGCGAATAGACGAACTCTTGGCGGAGTTCACAGCTTACAGAGAAGAGGAAATTACAATGGAGAGAAGATAAAAAACAACGAAGGGAAAAGGCAGAAAAAGAGACTGTGAAGCAGTACAATGAACTGCTAGCAGACATTGCACAGAAGAGTAAGTGCTCAGTCTAGGCGGCACCAAGCACACCTATGGATGAGGACGTGAAAGAACCCAGGATGAAAGGACCTGCTCTCAAGAGAAAGAAGATGGCACGGAGCAGCGATGCGGATTCCTAAAAAGTCACTAAGAAAACGACGCCTATCCTAACCGCGGCCGAAACGCGGCGGAGAGCACTACGGCCAACGGCTGCAGAGGTACCGACCATCAAATCTCCTAGGATACCTCCGGTCATTCTAAGGAGTAAGGATAAATGGAGCCACGTAAGCCTGCGACTCAAGGAGAGCCATATCAACTACGCCAAGGCGAAGCTGTCGAACAAGAGTATAGCCATCGAACCAACTAGCATAGATGACTATAGGAAGCTCACAAGACTTCTGACGGAAGAAAAGCACGAGTACCACACGTAATCGCTGCCAGAAGAGCGTCAAGTACGAGTAGTGATGCGTGGAATCCCCAGCGGAGTGGAGAACCACGACATAAAAAAAGGACCTCATGGACCAGGGCTTCGAGTCGTCATCCGTACAAAAGATGACTAGCAGAAGAACCAAGACCCTGGGTCTTGGATGCCGCTGGTACTTATACAAGTACCTAAGGATCAGGAGGCCATCTTGACAGTAAACCGATGCTGCTCCCTGGTAGTGCGGATGGAGCGTAAACGAGTGCAGCAAGATGTATCGCAGTGCCACCGCTGCCAGCATTTTGGCCATGCACAAGGCAAGTGCACTGCACAGGCCAAGTGCGTGAAGTGCGCAGGACCACACCACTCCACGGACTGCAAGAAGACAAAGAATACGCCGGCGTAGTGCGCTAACCGCGAGGGAGCGCACCCTGCCACTTACAAGGGGTGCCCCAATTACTCCAAGAAGCTGGCTAGTCCCTCTCCAGGACAAGTGCCAATGACTCAACAGGAGGCCAGGAGACCTAACACAGGAGGACTGAGCTACGTGAAGGTAACTCAAGGTAAAGCAAGGACAAGTGTCAGCCCTGCTAAACAACAAAAACCACTCGTTGAGGCCCAAAACCTCACCGCGGTGCTAGAACAAATGCAGCATATGTGCTCAGCAATGAGCGCA